TTGGGTTTTTTTTTTTTTACTTTTTTTTCAGGGCTAAGATAAGTGTGGAGGTAGAAAAATGGGGAGTGGGGCTGAGGATTAACAACCAGATTTATTTTTAATTATTATTTGTGCTTCAGCCACCCAGAAGGTGTAACATTCCAGCTTTGTTTTGGCTCTTAAAGAAGTAGCACTGAGAAGAAACCAAACTCCTGACCTCACTTACGTTGGAAAGGCAGGAAAATGTCTACAGTTTCTTTCCCACCCCCTGAGCTGCGGAGCTCAGAATGGCGCTGGGCTGCTGGTCCTCTGGTTCCCGCCCACCGGAGGCAGCTGCAGCTGCTTACCTGAAGGGCAAGCCCAGGGTTCCTACAGCCACTCCCCTGCACGTCCCTCTAGCCCTAGCCTCAGAGCCCACCTTCCCTGGGCAAGCCACTGCAGCCAATGCCTTGTCACCTTCCCAACCACTGTCTGCGCTGTCCCATCCCAGACACACACACACACACACACACACACCCTTCTCTCCCAGCTGCCAGGGCTCTTTAGCAGAAAATTATCATATTTCATGTGTCATCGCCCAAGCTGGCTTGGCCTGTCACTGATTGGCTGGGCACTGGCAGCCGGAAATGTCACCAGCCACACAGCTTGGAACCGGCTCTCCCGCGGCCACCACAGACCTGAGCCCAGGAGGCTCAGTGACAAGGCGCAGACCTACCACAGGGAGCCTGTCACTCCTCTCCCTGGTCCCGCCCCAGGCCCTCTCCTCCCTGCTTGCCTCTCTACTCGGCCCTGGGGGAGGGGACCTCCAGGGGATGGGGAGGGAGTCTCCAGTGACACTGGGAGCTGAACTGCCTCCAAGTGGAGGAAGAGAGGGAGCCACTGAAATTCCTGTTCTTCCCAGCATGCTGGGGAAGGATGTCTCCATTCGGTTTAAAAGATTTGGAGAAATTGTTCCTGACAAAAACAGTCTCGCCTCACACTGAAAAATAAAAATGATCAGTAAGGCTGGTGAAAATAAGATTGGTGACACTCAGGAGTTTATCTGCCATTGCTCTTTATGTCCCATCTAATATCACGTGCACCAAGGTGTCATAATCATCATATTTCAACACCGTCAGGGAAACCAGAAGACAATTCAGTCTACCCCTTTCCCTTAAACAGAACAGCTCTTAATCCTCCAGGAAAACTCACCAGAAAAGGAAGCCTTCCTAACTTGGCTACTCAATGCCTTGTGATGCCACACAAATGTTTAAGAGTTAAATGGTCTTCGTAGTGACCAACCTGAATCACTTTGGCTGTAATTTCAGCTTAGTCCCTCCTGCTGTATCTTTAGCAGGTTCAGCGTGACTCACCATTTAAGTCTCACCTCACTCTGTTCTTCTGGCTAAATTAAACCCTATCTCTCTGGACTTCTGTGTAACAGTTGTTTCTCAAACCTTTAATTATGCTGCTTTTTTCTTTAGACTTTAGAGACAAGCCTCCCAGAGCTAGATGTGGCTGAAAGGTCATCCAGTCCAGCCATGCATGTGATGCTTCAATTCACCTCTGCTGTTTCCACTCTGGGGCTTTTGGTTTTGAGGATAGCAAATTGAGGACATTTGCTCCTTCCCTCTCTTTCAAAAAACAAAACATAAACATAAACAAAGCCCCACATTTATATGACCAAAACATTAGTGGCAGTGTTAGGAACCAGAGAAAGGTGCCATCAATAAAGCATGCATTTTGAAGAATAAGGGGAAGATATAAAGCAGGTGAGAGGTGGGTGAGGAAAAGCTGATTGGTGCTGATAAACTCATGCATGAGTCTGCACAGGCCCCCTAAGAAGAAAGTGCACAGGCTGCCAGAAAAGGGTCCTGGAAAACCCCAAGCTCAGAGGATCAAAGATTGAAAGAGGGTCACAGGCACCAACTCAGAGGCAAATAAAAGGGCATCAGGAACTAGGCTGGTTCTGTCCACAGAGGATGGCAATTATTCCACAGCATCTTTGGAAAGTGGGAAGTTTGTCCCTGCTATGGGAAGAAGTCAAAGTCTAAATAGGGGCAAGACCCTAGCTCATTTTGTTATGCCACCAAAAAGGAGGAGAAGGAAATTGTCCAGTTTGCTGCCATATAGTTGTTCATAGTATTCTCTTATTATTTTTGTGTATTTCTGTGGTATTGGTTGTAATTTCTCCATTTTCATTTCTTATTTTTGTTTATGTGTGTCCTCTCTCATTTCTTCTTGGTGAGCCTGGCCAGAGGTTTGTCAATTTTGTTTACTCTTTCAAAAAACCAGCTCTTGGTTTGACTGATTTTTTTCTATTGTTTTTTAAATCTCTATTCTATTTATTTCCCCCCTGATCTTTATTATTTCTTTCCTTCTGCCTACTTTAGGTTTTGTTTGTTCTTTTTCTAGTTGTTTTAGGTGGTAGGTTAGGTTGTTTACTTGAGATGGTTCTTATTTTTTGAGGAAGGCCTGCATTGCTATGAGCTTTCCTCTCAGGACTGCTTTTGCTGTACCCCATAGATTTTGTGTGGTTATGTTTTCATTGTCTAAAGGCATTTTTTAATTTCTTCTTTGATTTCATCATTGAACCATTGGTTTTTTTCATAGCATATTTTTCGTCTCCATGCAGTCATCTTTTTCACATTTTTTTTCCTGTGATTGATTTCTAGTTACCTGCCGCTGTAGTCAGAAAAGATGCTTGAAATAATTTCTATCCTCTTAAACTTGTTGAGGCTTGTTTTGCGGTCTAGCCTAGGGAATGTTCCATGTGCACTAGAAGAGAATGTATATTCTGTTTGGGGGGAATGTAATGTCCTGAAAATATCAATTAAGTCTAACTGTTTCGTTGTATCATTTAGTATCTCTGTCATCTTATTGATTTTCTGTCTGAAGATCTGTCCAGTGATGTTAGTGGCATGTTAAAGTCTCCTACGATTACTGTATTCCCATCAGTTTCTCCCTTTATGTCTAACTTAGTACTTGTTTTATGTATTTGGGTACTCCTATGTAGGAGAAGGAGGAGAAGAAGAAGGGAATAAAAAAAAACAGAAGAAGAAAAAGAGATTAATAATCAGATACAAGATATAACAGGGAAGTCCAGAATATCCCATGTTAGTCTCATAGGAGTTCTGGAAGGAGACAACATCATTAAGGAAGAGGAAAAACAATAATCAAGGAAAAACAGAATATTTCCTCGAGCTGATGAGAGACTTTAGGACTTAGATCAGATGGGCCTATTGAGTGCTGAGCAGCAGGACTACTGAAAGAACACACAATTCTAGATGTCGTTTGATACTCCAAGAGTAAAGAGAAACAGTTACAAGATTCCTGAGAGGGGAGAAAAATCAGGCTGCTTAAAAGGGAAGAAAAACAGACTGACATCATACTTCATACCTACAACACTAGGCTAAAAGGCAGTGGCACAATTTTTATAATATTCTAAGGAAATATTATTGTAACTCAGGAATTCTACCAGCTGCCAAACTATAATTTCTGTCACATGTGATGACAAAAGAAAGGCATGTTCAAAGACACAGAAATACCCTTTATTAAATTTTTAAAAAAAGATTACTTGAAGATCTGTTCTAGCCAAGGGAAAAATGAAGCCAGAATAATAAGCTCAAGAAAAGATATGTTATATAAGAAAATGTAATGAGTAATAAAGCCAATAAATGTATGGTTAACTACAAAAATAACTGATAATGAGGTTGTAAAGTTTAATTTAATTGTAACAACAGGAATGAAGGAAGGAAGGAAGGAAAAGAAAGAAAAGAAAAGAAGGAAAAAAGAAAGAAAAGAAGGAAGAAATCAGGTAATCTGGAATTAAACTTTCATATAAATTCAGCTGAAAGCACTGGAAAATCTCAATGGAAATGGGTAAGTAAAATCACTAGAATTAAAAACAGGGTGGGAGGATCACTGTGGAAGCCAATTACAATTCCATCTATTACCTCTCTTCCCAAGACCACATTGAAATGATAATAAGGAATTTTTTTAAGTTCAAACACACAATGACAAAGAAAACAGGAGAAGAGCCATTAGCCAAGAAAAGTGA